AATATTATATGGATTATAAAAAAAGCTGCCTCTTGAAAGATTTTTCTCTTCTAATGATGGCTTTCAATCAAACATACATTTATGCGAAAAAAAAGCCTTTTGGGAAAATTTCGGCAGAAAAAGCTACAAGTTACTTGTCAAAATGAGCTCAAAAGGGTGAATATTCGATTCAAAGAATATCTTTACGATATTCGTTCCTGTTTATGAGAGTTTCATATTTAAGAGAAAAACGAAACGAGAAATTATTTTTCCTTAAAATTGAAAACAGTTCCTGTGATATTAATTTGATTTTATTGTATTTATGATTTAGATATATCGAAATATTTCGAAGCTCTTCTTCTGAATGTCGCCGTTCCACAATTTTCAACAATGGCGGTCGAAATGGCAATGGAAAACAAAGTGGTGGTTTAGGATTTTCTAATGATCGCATGGGACGTGGACAGCGAAATAATCGTTCGAACTTTCGAGGTAAATACTATATTTTTGACTTTAAAACTATTCGAATAATTTTTTTTCTCAGATCGTCCTTATCCAGAATCATCATGGATGTTGTCTCATAATAATAGCAATAATGATAGCCCATGGCGCAACAATAATCGAAACAGTAACAATCATAATTTCGGAGGGAACGGAGGCAACAGCTTTAATAATTTTGGAGGCAACTCAATGTTCGACAATGACAATAATTTCTCTTCAGGTAAGTAGAAGAAGCAAGTAGAATTGGGAGCTCTTGTTAGTTCTGCTTATGGTTTTTTTATTAAGTGACGACCACAGAGGCCCATGCTACTACTTGTTATGGCGTTCTCATTATGATGATGATAACAAAGTGTTGAAAAATATTTTTTTATATGGCTTGGTTGTCACTTCTTTAACACAACTTAATTTCTCGTAATTTTCTTCCACACCTGATTAGAAATAAGTGGCAAAATCTCTTATTATTATTATTTTCATTTTTTGCAGATTTCGAGCGCAACTGGAACTCAGGAAATGGAAGCTTTGGTGGAGGAAATAAGAACAATCAGTCATCAATGTTTGATCGTAAGAACTTTGGCTTCTCAAAATTTAACAACAACGACAATGGAAATTTTGGAAATAATCGATTTATGAATAATATGAGTGGAAATTCGAATTCAAACAATGATGCACCAGAATACGCTGTAAGTCATAAAAATATTTTCAATTTTTATTAATATTAAATAAAATCTTATCATCTGATAAGGTTCACTTGCGAGGAATGCCTTACGATTGTGGTGAACTAGAAATTCGTCGATTCTTTGAACCATTACAATTGGTTGGATGCGAAGTTTTTTATAATAACAATGGTAAGATTCTGATTGATTATTTCTAATCTCTGTCTCTCTAAATAATCCAGAAAAAACTTTCTATCTAAAAGGACGTCATACAGGCGAAGCTGATGCATTCTTTTCCACAATCTCAGATGCTCAAGAAGCAATGAAGAAACACAAAGGAAAAATGGGCTCACGTTACATTGAATTGTTTGCTAAAAGTAACGACAGACGAAATGGAGGACGATTTTAAAAGCATCTTTTCATCATTGAGCACCTTGCACAATTAATGTTTCTTTTTTTTATACTTAAATATAATTTTTTTCAATATAACAAACAACAAAAGCTGGGCGAATTCAAGATTTGGGACATCGAACAATGCTCAGCCTAATTGAAAATATCATAAAGATATAATTTGATTGGAATTACTTCACTAATAAATACTTAACTCTGTACGTTCGTTCTCTTCAAATATTTTATTTTTTAAGAAACACTCGTAATGATGAATAAATATTTCAAAGATTTCACAAGAATGTAATGCAAAATAAATAGCTATTGAAATATTAACATAATTCTGTCCTCATTTCTTATTTTCGAATGATCTAATTTCCAGAACTTTCATTTGTCGTCAGAAAATATTCCTATTCCAAAAACTTACTTTCATTGATGGCATTTTAAGTTAAAAAAAACTTCGGGTGAAGTAAAAATTCTCAAAGAGAAAAACATCGAACTGAGAATTAAACCAATGTTATGAATCAATTCTAATTACGAAGAGTTTTGGAAAATCAACTTGATAAACGTCATTAATCTGTGTCAATTTTTCACATGTATTAATTCTTTATTTTATTTATAAATTAATTTTGAAAAATATGTTTTCCGCTATCTAGAATATTCATGATATGGCCAGCCTATGGTTTGTTAGACCAATCATACTTATTGTTTTTCTGAGAGAAAATTCTCTGATCGATGTTGATTATTCGAATTCTCAATTGTTGGCTTTTTTTTTTAAACAAGACGGTCTCGGTATAGTTAAGTGAATGTAAAAAAATATTTCTGCTATTGAACAGTGTCTATGAATGTAAAATAAATTATTTTCAATCCTGTTAATAACAGGGTAACAGTGTCAGCGGAAATAGCAGAACAAGTTACAAAATATAAAAATGAATCACTGACACGTGTGTTCTGCAAAGAGAATCCAATTTAAAGCCGTATTAGAGCTCACGATTATTCCTTATCGCTATATAAAAATGAAGAAGCGAAGCTGTGTTGATATTTATTATTCTACTTATTGAAGTTCCCCAGTGTTTAATGAGTCTTTGTGTTAATCATCACTCGATTAAGTTCAAGCTGAATTTATATTTTAGTGGAAAATTTTTAAAAGATGAATTTAACTACCTAGGATTATTTAATGACAAGTGGCAACAGTAATAACAAAAAATATAATCGTTCAAACCTGATCTAACTTATTATTGCTAATTATAACAAGATTATTAAGGTTTTCCTTGGATGAATGATTTTTAGCAATAAAAAAAATTAACAAAAAAAAATCAAATATTGTCACGCGGTTAAAGAACTGATGATGTTTGCACAAAATATTCAAAATAAATGCGATGTCACAATTATGATGAATTCATATTGCATACTTATTTAAAAGAAAATTAGTAACCACGTGACCTGACCAATAATACTTGAAAATTGTTTAGAAACAATATTCATTATCGTAATTGATTATATAATTCTACGATAGATATGAACCGTTGTAAAAAACACTGATGTTTGAATATAGTAGTACAAAATACGAAACCTAAAAAAATCGTAACTAATTTTTACAAATGTTTTGATACAATCAAAAGTAGTATCTAATACATTTTTGTAGTTATTTCCAATATTTGTTATCAAAACATCGTTTTTGAATTAAACAAATATCAAATCAAAATGCCATCAAGCAAATGTATTCCGCTCTAACTTATTAACAAAATACAAGTAAATGTTGTAATCACGATGTCAGAAATTACCTGTAAATACGATGTTAATTTGTCTCTTTTTTTCTTCTTCTTTTTCATCGCACATTCAATTGCATTTATGAATCTTATTCAGTTTTTGTTTGCCAAAAGGCATGATTAGTCATTTTAGATACATTTACAGTGAATGTTAATAATTACCTCGTGATTTCCTTTAATGTTGAAACATTAAATTTAGTAAATAGTATTTCGTTTTAGATAAATCTAAAATCAATTAGAGTGGCAACAACTCATTTTAAAAGAAAAAATGTTTAATTTGATCTCAATAAGAAAACCTTGTGAGTGCATGTGATTCAAGGGGAAAATATCAGTGAAGGCAGCCGATTAAAAAATTTATGTCTCTCTTGATATTTTGATAATTAAATATTGAATTGAATTGAAGACATTTAGAAAATAGTTTTGCTTATAAGTAGGTATATACTTAGGCAGTGAATCACTCATTGATCTGCCACTGTCATTAAATGCATTTTTTTCTTCACTTCTTATACAGTGAAACTTTGATAAACAGATATTTCAAGGGACACAAAAAATTATCTGTTAATCGAGGATATCTGCTTATCAAGGATTTGAGGGTGTTGAAGAAACATAAAAATATAATTTTAAGCCGACAATCCCCAATATTATATCATTTTACTATTATTTTAACTTATCTATTATAGTTTATTATACTATAATGCTAGTTAGAGGATGAATTAATAGTATTATAAAAATTCGCGCCATTCGAATTTTGAGCAACTGAGTAAATGAAGACCCCCGATTTTAAATTTTTCCGTTTATCAGCTTATTGAGGTCAGTTTTTCATACAAATTTCGTCACCGTTTATCGGGGCATCAGTTAATCGAGGATATCTGTTAATCGGGGCAATACTTCGAACAAATTCGAGTGTGTGCCAAAAAATATCTGCTTATCAAGGATATCTGATTATCGAAGTAGCAGCTTATCGAAGTTCCACTGTACAGAATTTTTTTCACAGAATAACCCTGTATCAGTAAGACCAAAATATAAACAAGTTGTTCTTATCACTTCATATA